AGAGTACCTCCCCCCCGTTGGCATATATCTTGTGTGCTCGCGCAGAATATCTGTTTATCCGGAGTTTGGGTAAGCATAGTAGGGTGGTTTTCGGCGTTCGCTTGATTGACGACGTCTGTCTGTTCGTTGCGGAGGGACATCTTAAGAGTGCATCCGCAGAAGATATATTTTCGAGATTTACTGAATGTTATCCTGATAATCTAACATTAAGAAGAACCGAAAGCGGAACGGGTGTTTGGGATTTCCTAGGTTGTGTGGTGAGAATCAACAGCCAACGACCATTCATGGAATGTGTTCAGGTCTCAAAGAATGAGGCAATGTTGTGGTCTGAGGAGCGTCTGACCTTCTTTAATAGGCAATCATACCTGTCTTGGGGCAGTAAGACTCAGAAAAGCGCAGTTCTTACCAGTCACCTGCATCGTATTGATCGTAATACATCTGCCCGACATGAAATCCCGAGACGAGTTGTGTCATTGAAGAGGGAATCCAGGTTGAAGGACGTACCCTCTGATTTCTTTCTGAGGGTACTTAAGCGATTTGCTCACAGGCAGGATGCCCACTGGAAGTTGGCAGTTGATATGGTAAGCTGAAACTCTATCTTTTTGGTCCCTGCAGCGCTCTGTAGTGACAGGGCTTGTGACGGAGTTGAAGTCTGTTTAGTGACTGGTCCTTTTCCGGTCGTGACCAAGAGTGTATTTTTAGTTAGGCCTCTTGGAGCCCAGGCTTGTGTGGTTCTTGTTTGGACTTTGGTTCCACTGTAGGATTTTGGTTTGGACTTTGCTTTCACTGTAGGTTTTGTAGAGGGTCATGGTACGGGCCCCTTCCGTCTTTGCTTCGATTTTTGCTTATGCATCATGTAGTACTTTTTTAGGCCCCTTGAGCCCGGGTCTACGTCTTGTTTGGGGTTGATTTTGGCTCGTCTTGACTTACCCAATGAAGTACCCCCTATCTAGGGTAATAAGCGTGGGTAGTATTGATACCGTAAGTACCGGCACCTGGAATGTTGCGCACGAACTGTTAGC